GTCAAGCTGAACGAACTCAGATTATCAGAAGTGTCTCCTGTGGACTGCTGTTTGAAATTATCTTTTTTTATTCCTGATAAAGATGACTGGCTCTGGTCTGGTTTTCAAGAACTTTTTGATGGGCTGTCTCTTCTGGCTCAGCCTGTTTTGGTCTTTGTGCTGAAGATATGTATAATTTCAGGAAAAACAGAAAACCAGCTAGTGTTGGACAGTGGAGAATTTGCATCCGTGAACGGCTGTGCTGGTATGGAACAGCTTATGGGATTTGGCTTTGAGTTTCTGGCTTGCCCATCTGCATTGATTTAAAACTAGCTATGAGTCTGAGGTGCTGTTATTTATAGATATTGCCAATCCCAGCATTAGCAGCAGAGAGATGTTACGGTTTTGTCACCTCAGGAAAATGTCATCAGATAGTATGGTAGTTCCAACCCATGCTCTCTGGGGAAACCAAGTGGATAATGGCTTTTTAAATTCATGTGGGCTTGTGTATGTTGGTGTCTTGTGCAAATCCAGTATCTGACCTTCTTTCTGCTGCGATTCCATATTTGAGGTCTTGAGTAATTTCCTGCTTGCTCAGCTGCCTTGGTCCTCTTGGTCTGCTCTGCTGCTTTTTGATGCAGTTGTCAATTGATTCTTAATTGATTGTTATTTTGGCAAGTGAGGGAAGCAGTGTAGAGGTTAGAAGTCTGCTGCTGATGCACAACTGCCTGCCTGCCTGCCCTCGGCGGACTGGGTATGAAGGAGCCTTCAAAGTTCTGCGTTGCTGCCTGCGTTTGCTGGCATTCTGCAGCACATGCATCAAATTCAGTCTGTGCTTTGAAGCAATGTTTCCCTGGGCTTCCCAAAAGAGTCGTTTCGGAGGTATCTGGTTCCGATCCCTGGGAAGACAGACATCTTGTTATAAGTAGTAATCACAAAGAGTCTTTTTTTGTTTGTCTCCTGTTTATTGAAACCTTCCTTGGAGGAGAAATTGTCTGCAGTCAGATTTTTTTTTTTCTTTTTTAAAGAATGGATTCACTTTACCCAATTCTTGAAAGTTTTTATATCCATAAGACCTGTATGGTTACTGTGTCAGAGAAGTATTCCGTGGTACTGCGGTGTTCTGGTGTTCTCACATTTTAACCTTTATAGAGTCTTTTACATCTTAAGGCAACAGAACGTTTTCCTCTCTGTAATTTATCCCAGTGTGCAGAACTTGCTCTCACTTAGCACATTTTCAGCTCTTCTGTGTTATTTTAACACACTCTTTTAAAGGCTCTTGTTAAATATGTTTTTGGCCTCCATTACTCATCTCTATTTTTTCTAATTTTCTAATTATTTTCTAAAATGTTCTCTAATATTCTAAAAATATTTTCTAATATATTTGAGGAGGTGATAATATCCTTGCTTGTTATTTCATTTTGCTGTGTGGGGTTTGGACTAGCGTACACTAAGAGGTTTGGCTATAACTGATGCTAAGCTTTGCCTTTTTCCTTCCTTCTTTTAATGAAAATCTGATTTGGGAGAGTTAGTTTTTCTCAGCTGTATGTTTGCAGCTTCATGTTTTGGAAAGATACTTAAAATCCATTTACAGCTAGCTCATGCAGAGGTGAAAGAAAGGATATTTGTTTCAAATTCTTTTGGGAACCTGAAAATAGAATTGTTTGTTTTGCTCTGGGCTGCTGGATAAAATTCCAGCATTTTATCTGGAAGTTATTACGGAAAAAAATCTCAAGGAGAATTTGCTGCTATTGCTGCCTGCCTATGTGGCTGTTTGGTAATAACAACAGTGATAATATTCTGACTAAGGTCCACTTATTTGTGCTGTTCTGCTTTGTAGAAACATGAAAATGTGCAGGGAAAGAAGCGTGATGCAGCCTTTCTTCCGTAGTATGGCATGGTTCTGATTGCAGGTGGCAAATCCGGTGAACAGGCCACATTAATAAACTCACTTCACTATGTGCCTGGTCTGTGCAATATGCTCCACATTAAATGTCCCTTAGAAAAGTTTACAATCTAATAAAACTGTGCACTAAAATCTAGATGCTTCAGCAGCTCACTTGTGCCAATTTAACTCTGGCTCCGTGATGTATTTGCCAACTTTTCTGGTCTGGGCAGCGATCAAGCAGATGTCTGGTGTCCTGAGCTGCTTAACATCTGGGTGTCCCAGGTAAATTACCACCAGGCATGTGCAGATAACTGCCACGTGCTCCGTGAGTCTGGTGCATCCGTCCTGCATCTTTGGAGGTTGGCCGGTCCACACACGTGTTGATGTTAACTCTCTTTGCTGTTTTTTATAAAGCTGTGGCTTAATCTGCGGATCTTTAAGCAACAAAGTCCCTTTCCATTTCTGAGTAGGTGCACGGAGTTCATCAGGACTGCTTGTCGAATAACTTGTGCTCCACAGTAGGGTATTTGCTGCCAGGCTTAATTCAGCATCTCTCTCTAGGTACAGAGTAGTGGTGATACGTCAAAAACAACGTGCCCCTGAGTGAAAAGGGAAGTGTTTGGCTGCATTACACTAGGAGAATGGTTCGGACTTTCTGTGAAATTTTTGATTTCCAAAGAGAATGGTGTGGTTTGGTTTTTTCCTACTCTAGAAGTAAAACGTGAAATTCCATAGCTTCTGGATTGGTTACTCATTTTCTTTTTAATCTTTTAATCTTAAGCTTGATAAATTGCTAGAATTGGCAATTGTTGACTGAGAAGCATGTTACTAATTATCAGAGATGTAAAAAAGAATTTAATACCCAGATTTTATTAAACTGCAGATTCTCTCTCTAGAACTGCCTTTGCTTCAGATCCTTTCAGATCCCTTACATACTGAAGGGAGACTAGCGCAGGATAATAAAATATTTTGTATCATTAACACATAGCATTTCAGGAATGAGTAGGAATGATAGGCAAATACAAAAGTTCAGATAATCTTTTTATCCCATTTTGACTTCTGTTATATCATGTAATTTCCAATGAAAGAGAACTCATGCTTATACACTGAACTTCACTGGCTGCACAGTTGGGAAGGTACCAATATAATTTTGGAACTCTATGATTTTTGGAAAAAGAAAAGTTAGAATGGCTGGAGAAACCAGTTAGTGCCATGGAGAGTGCATTCATGGAGTCATTCCCTGATGCTCACAATATGAAAAGTCGTGGGATGGGACCATGTTAATGCAGTCATCGGGTTTCTCTTTCCTGGAGAGGTAGGATTCTTCTGTTTCCATCAAAAGGCCAGAGCCTGTCTCTGTCCTGTAAGAGTTTCCGTTCAGATTGGAAGAGTTTTTAGTTGGTTTAGTTAAATGATAATTTGTGTATATTATGAAAAAAGCCTTTCCTTTTTTTGATTAAAAGCTTGTTTGTGGGATGGTGTTGATCCTGCGTGTGATGCAGGTGATTACATTATACAACACATGACTCAGTGCGTTGAGCCCAGAAGCACCACTGCTGTTGCCCAGTTGGAACGAATGATTTCCCAATGACATGTAGTAATAATCTGCTTGATGACATAGTTCAGTGAACAATGTTTTGGCAGCAGGTCTGAGCAAAGTACCTACCTTTTCCTCCTTCCCGATGCGTGCCGCTCCCTCCGCTGTGCTGGGGCAGGAGCTGGGCGTATCTTTGGGGTCTGGATGGGCCAGATACCTGGGCCTGTCTGATGATGCTCTGCCGCTGAAAGAAACGGTCCTGTTCCTTGCTTTCCACTAGCTCTGATGCTTCTCTGAATCACAGTCAGCTTTGCTAAACCTGGCAGAAAACCTTTTCCTTCTTTTGTCGGGTGAGCGTTCCTAGCCAGGGCAGCGGAAACAGCTCCCTCCGCGGTGGAGGAGCACCGGAGCTGATGCAGCAGGGAGCTTGCTCATGGTTTTAGCCCGGCTGGGGAACGCGCTGGCTCACTGCAGCTGCACAAACACTTGTCCTGCCCCGCTGGGAGGGAACTGCATGGGTGGTGAGCACGCACAGCCCTGTCACCGCTGTTGGCCTGTGACTGGACACATTAGAAGTGGTCATGTAGGAGAGAGCGGTGTGTGCAGGCACATGCCTGCTATTATTATTTCTTTACAATGCGCACTGTTCTGGCCTTTTCAGGTCAGCTTTAGTATTATTTGGCGTTAGTTTGTGGCTTGGTAAAACAAAAAAACTGGTTTATGACAATCTCTTTATTCATAATGCATGGATACAAAAGTTGTAAGTAGTTCTAATCCAACTATTTTTTCCACCTTCAATCACAGGTACTTAAGAGCTGAGTGACCTGTTATAGTTAATCTTTAAAAAGGAGATGGATGTGGCGGTATGTCCTGTGTTGAAGGAGCTAAATAAGCTCTGATGTTGAGTTTCTGCTGCCAACTAGAAAATATAGTAGAAGTCAGGCAAGTGCAGGACATTGTAGATAATGAAGCACAATTTATTTGCTGTTCGAACAGACTGTCGGAAAAACTATTGTCTCTCCATAGAAAACAGTCTCTGTCTAAAGGGGAAAAAGAAGAATGTTGAGATGACAAATTAGGAGCCTACACGTGGATCTTAAAGATACCTATTCCTAGTAGCTAAAAACTGGAGACCGGGTATTGCTTTTAGGGTAATCTTCAGGGTTTTTAGGCTTTAGCACATCTGCTTATTCCAGTGATGTGAGTGTCTGGCAAGGCTGTTTCAGCTAAGCAAGAAAGGTGAAAAGAATGAACTGAAGGTAAAAAAGACTTAAAAAAAGCTCCCCAGGCAGTACTTACCTTGATCAGAGTACTGCACTGGGAACTGTGAGTTTCAGGGATTTTTTGTTTGTTATTAAGGAGTATCCCAAATTACACCTGTAGCTACTACCACCTGGAATTTTTGGTCTGACTTTTTCAATGCTCCATGTCACTTTAAAAGACATCTGGTGTGATTACTTTTGAGTTTTTTTTCAGGGGTTTAGACTTGATTTCAGTAATGTTAACACTTGAATATGAACCAAACAAAGAAATACCAGTAGAAACAAGAATAAGACAATTTTCAAACATCTGCATTATTTATATGTTTAGGTGGCTGTCAATGCACACATCCCTCCGGATTATCTTCTTAGGATCTGTGAGAGACTTGGACCCCTTTTAGACAAGGAAATCCCACAGAGTGTCCTAGGTGTGCAGACTTTGCTAGGTGTCGGGCGACAGTCTCTATTAAGGGCAGCAAAAGGTAAGATTCTCAATTTACATGTGATTGAATTTTACTTTAATGATCAAAAACTCTTTTGTTTCGCTTCATGTTGTGGTATCTGTGTGTGTTTGAATGAACCCTGGTTTGTCTTCTGTGCTTGTCAGCTTTCTTGTTGCAGTCTTGCTAAAATGCAGTTGTTGCTGGCCCTGTTACGCATGTTTCCTTGGTTGAAAATGCCATCTTAAGCAGCTCTTGCCTACAGTTGCCTGATCTTGTTACTTGCTTCCTCTGCCTTCCCTCCCCAGCATGTTGGACTGGTGTTTGTGTAAACGGTGTGATGAACTGGATTCGAGATTTGATCCATCTGAAAAATAGCCTCTTTCTTCATGTACATGTACACATGCCTGTGTCTGAAATAATCCAGCAGTCTATCTACTTTGCTGGGCTATTTTTCAGGCTGATTTGTTCCATTATTTGGTTCCCTGGCCATGCAGACTGGTGTGTCAGCTTGAATAGCTGGGTGGCACTTGGGGCAGCATTTAGAAGGTGGGAGAAAGTGAGACTGATTCTTCAGTGACAATTCCTGCTTGTCCTTGCTTAAATTTAATTTGAAAGAAAGCCCCCATTCCTTTCATGAATAGAGCAGGAGTCCAATTCCTTTTGAAAAACTGCTCTGCTTGAGATAATGATCCTGAGAGCACAGTTTTGTGTTATAACTAAACAGATCTGAGAGCCATCTGCTATTGAAAAGAGTGGTTCCTCCCTTCCCTCCTCACTCTGTGCCCCTGCCACTTCCTCCCTGTAGGAGCCAGAACTTACTTGATCTGTGATCTGCTGATTCAGAGCGCTAAAACCTTGCAAAATTTGTTATTGCTGTTGTAGTGAATTAAATTAGCTCGTGGAAGGATCAGAGTGCTGGATGTGACACAGGCAGCAGGAGCATCACTCTGGGAGAGGAGGAGGGATGGGAGAGCAGGACCTTCCTGTTCCAGTGGCAGCTGAACATGTAATTTACTGCATCCTGTGAAGTTATGCTGTGATGCTGTCCTGGTTTCAGCCAGGATAGAGTTAATTGTCTTCCTAGAAGCTAGTGTGAGGCTATGTTTTGGATTTGGGATGAGAAAATGTTGATAACGCCCTAGCCTCACACTAGCTTCTCCGAAGAACATTAACTCTGTCCTGGCTGAAACCAGGACAGATGCTAACAAGGACTGATCCACTGGATATCACCTGGAGGGATACGCTGTTTGCAAACACATTTCCTTACGCAAAGTTTTGGGACCGAGTCTTGTTTTGCTTATGCTTTGCTATAATTGGGTGAAGGATCTCAGGTTTGCACGGAGGCCTGCAGAGAAACAATCCTTCATTTCACATTCAGTTTGTATCTTAGAAGAAAACAGCAGCAAAATATAAGGAGAAAATAAACATTTTTGTGCAGAAAACCAGAAGTTTCTTAGGTGAATTGGAGGACAGAGGCTAAATGAGTCACTGAAAGATGTAGTGCTTCCTAAGCTGTGTGATAAATCTATTGCAAAGACATTTCTACTAGTTTTATGGTGGGATTTTTTCCCCTTCAGAAGCAGGTGCTGTGACATTGTGCCATTTGGTGTGTAAACCACACTCACTAATATGGAACAGCATACCTTTTTCAAAGTTGATATACATGGATTTCCGCTTCCCCTAGTTCTGTATCAATATGAAGTTTCCATTTACCATTAGTATTTATAGTTATTTTGATCTATTTTAGAAAGTATGAATGCTATTTTTTAATGTGTATCATTGTAATCCTCTGTGGTACAGTTTGGGTTTTAATCAGGAGGTGCTCTCAGGAGTCTCTTTCAGTCACGTAGCTTGGGCACTTCATATTCAGAGATCTAAATGGTGATATACAGATCCACCAATCTGTGGCACTATCCTTCTGTTTCCGTCCTTATTCACCGTGGAAGCTCATTTCTCTCCTTCCAGATGGCCAGAAATGGAAGAAGTCCAGGTCTAATTTCTGAGGCACCCTGAACAGTCTCAGAAAAATCACTATTGTTCTAGAGAGAAGGCTCTCTGAGGCCAGTTGGCAGCAGATAGCTGGAGAGCCTTTAAAGAAAAGAGTCTTCATTTTAAAAACAATGTTTTTTTGGGGGGGTTGGGGTGCAGAGGAGAATCTGAAAGGAAGGCATATTGCCACCAATTGCAGGAAAACAGATTTATTGGGGAAAAAAAAATCTCACTTCTCCCACATGCAGGGAGCAAATGTGTGTGTGTGTATATATGCGTATTCTCAAATGTACAGTTCATAAAGGAGGTCCTGTATGCGTTTGGATTGCAGAAGGACTAAAACCACACCAAAATTCAGTGCTGCCTCAATACAAAGTGAACCCACCTTTTCCATTCTATTTTTCATTCCATTAGTTTAGGCTCCCTACTCACCAAAATGAAGCAAAATTAAGCTGAAACCACCTACAGTCATATTGCTTAGGAACTAGAAATCAGACTAACAATCTTGTTTAAGTGTTAGATCTCTGACAAACTTATTTTAAAAGACAAATCGTATTTTGGGATGCTGGGAGTGGTGCTTGATGCTCTTGACTCTAAGAACAGGTCAGTTAGACTCGATTGGGCTGATTGTTTCACTAACCCGCTGTTAATCTTGCCGGTAACAGACTTCAGACATACACTATGGAAAGGATCTGCATTTGCAGCTCTTCACAGAGGCCGGCCTCCCGAACTACCTGTAAATTATGGGAAACCACCAAACGTGGGTGAGTTTTGAAACATGCATAAGGTGTTTTTTTCTTCTCTGTATTTTTATTACTGTTCCAGCTGAAAGTTACTTTTGCTGACTGCAACATTACTATGGGTTTGCATTATTGGCTTTTTTTTGACGTTTCACTGTGAATTAGTCTAAAAAAGGTTTCTCGCTGACAATAGAATAACCCCTTTTGTATTACTCAGGCCTGGATCTTCCATAATGTGTGTACACACGTTAAAACGTTGTGGCCACGTTGAAAAGCTTTGCACATGAACTTCCTGTTTGGAAGGCAACGTGCTTGAGTATTGTTTTATCATACACCTACTTAATATGTACATATGCTTGTAAGATTGAATAGGCATGGTCACAGGAGCATGTAGACAATCTTTTCACTCAGGAGTCTTAGCCAGAACAAAGCGCCTGGCTCCCAGCGAACTTTTTTGACTCAAGAATTTCTTTTTAGGTTGATTATGACAAAAAACAGACTGCTTACAACATCCCTCTTCAAAAAGGAAATAATCACCAAACCGACATTCGTGTTACTTCTATTTCAGTTGTCCACACAGTTAGATAAAGAACTTGTATAAAACTCAGATGCCTATAGGCATTCAGCATACATAGTAAGAGCTTCTCTGTTTTGCTTAAACTGAAAAGTATTTTCCTTACACAGTCTGAACTTTCATTAACCATTTCTATAGCAAACAAATTCGATTCTTGCAGGTGTAACTATAAGTCCTGTTGGTCATCATTTGTTTTCTTATTAGGGTATTTTATCCGTGTTTATGTGTGTTTGTGCAAATGCGTGGGCTTTTCCTGCTTTGCTAGGAGATGCATTCACATACATTTCTCCCATCCCTTTGGAGATGCAGGGATGATGGTGGCAGTCTTCTCCTTCTGCTGTGTCTCTTCCTCTCTTTGTACTTCCGCACTTTCTCACTACTAAAAATTAATCTTTGTCAGACATGAAAGTGCCGACGCCTGGGCTGTTTGTGGTTGAAATCGATAGCATGCTTTGCGTAAGGTCTGTGGTGGTGTGGCAGCAGCGTGATGGAGTAGCAAAGTTAATTATGGGTCTTTTGTATGAAAAAGAAATGGATATTTGCTTGGAACTAGTGCATAGGGAACAATTACATTAGTATATTTCCTGCTTTTGTCAGATAATTTATGAGTCATACTGTGGACATTAAAAAAGAAAACTATTTCCATACATTAGTATAGTTACTTCTGTACATGTCTATGTATTTATTCTTTTAGGCTGTTTCTGCAGTTACTTTTTTGTTCGCAGTTGGGCTGATGGATTGCTGATAGGCTAGATTATGGATTTATTGCACAGGCTCAACTTCTATCGTTATACTTCTATAAGGGCTCCTGGGCCAATTCTTTCAGAAGAGAAGAATCAGGTGGCATGTTTTTGGAATGAGTGGTGTTATTAATGAACCGTACTAGCAGATTGGCCTTCAGCATTTGTCGTGCTTTCCTAACAAAGGTTTGTGCTGCCTGCTTGGTGACTATTCAGTTACTTAGAGAACAGAATGATTTGTTGATTTTGGTGTTTTCCTATGAATTGTTATTTAAGAAATGCAAAAGTGTTATATGGCAAGTGATCTTTTATAGACAGGAATTAATTTTTGTAAGTGGAAGTCGCAAAATTCTTCTGTGTATATTTGTGCAAAGTGGGTGGTTTTTTCTGGCGAGTAGTGACAGCCACATTTGCTGCAGTGTCTGTGTGTTGTTTTAAAATACAAGACGAAGAAGTGTGCCCAACCTCTTTAATATTTCAGCATAATTGTGAATTCCCATGGTGTGCTGGCTTAGTACTGTGCAGGCTTAGTCAGATTGAGTTTTCTGGAATTACTTGCTCAAGTAGTTGGGCTGAAGTAGTAGACACCCATAATAATAATGTGTATTCATGAGTGAGATGAAATGATTGTGTAATTACCTGTGTAGACAGGTAAATAAGGTGTAGAACTAGCAGCTAAAAGTATTCTTATATCCTTTCCCTCCCAATCATAAAGATTTAAGCTTGCCACCATAAGTGGGTTTTTCAGCTGCAAGAATGGGATTACTTGTGGTTACCCTCCCAGCTGGAAGAGTCGATAGCTGCAGTGGTTTGCCTTTCCATCTGGATGGGGTTGGGATGGCATCTTGTGATCTGTACTCCAGAATTTTTATTTTGGTCATGCACAGTGGACCTGGAGCAAGAAATCAGTCTTGCCTTTTCCCAGCACGTTTGTGCAGAGATGGAAATCTTCTGGCTGGGAGAGTATCTGAGAAAGTGCTGACCTGTGGAAGTTGTTCTCACAAAGTGTTGTTTGTGTGTTGAGTCTTGAAGGTCTGTGGTGATTTGCCTGGGGGGAAGAGAGGGGGAGAAAATGCTCTCAGAGCTTTCTGATGCTGACAGCATAACGCAGTGAATATGGTGAGAATGGTCTTTTAGACTGTTTCTTTGCAGGTTTTGGAGTAGTGGTATGTTTAGGACTCCCCTTTGTGCTCTTCCAGTCAGAAAATGGAAAGATTGGTCATACAGTACCTCAGCAATGGGATTTATTCACATATGATAAATCTGCTTTGGAATACTACTTCAGTTTTGTCAGAGACTTTTTTTTTTTTTCAGGCAACACAAAGTAGATTAGAAAGAAGATTGCTTTTCCTCTTCAGTTGATTACTAGAGCTATTTTAACCTGAGTATGAAAATCTTTATGTGGGTAACTTAGTGAAAAGAACACAAAATTTGGAACCAGAAAGTTCATAGCATAGTCTCAGTAAACAAGCAGTTCAGCTGTATGGAAACTTACAGTCAAGGTGGTGCAGCTACCTTAGGCCTGCCAAATAGCAGTGCTCTGATGAGGTCAGAAAATCAATGATGTGCCTCTGCTGTAAAGGAGTTCCATGAGGTCAGCAGCTATGAAAGCTGGAACACTTTGTTCTTTTGGTGCTTTTGCTGGGTCTAGCTGTCTTTGTGGCCACACTTTCAGACTCTGAGAAGCATATTTTGCATGTGTGAGCCACCTGTGTTTATTCCCCAGTGTTCTTATGAAATCCCAACTTTTGTTTCTTCTGCACACTGTGAGTGGTACCGAATCTTCATGCTTGATCAGGCCCCATGATGAGGTCACAGCTTAGTCACCACATGTCTTGGCTATGTAAAATATTATGTCCTCATTAGGAAGCTATAGTGCTTATTTCAGAGGGTAAAATAGTATGTTGTGAAGCCATCACCCCTAATACTAGAGAGACTATTTTTAAAACAAACGTTTGTATCGGTATGCTGTTTTGTATTTTTGCTCGCAAAAAATGGAGCGAGGCAAGGGTTTATAGGGAGAGGAAGAATTCAAGCAGTTTTTAAACTGCTGCAGCTAGGTGACTTTGTCCATGCTGAAGTGTTTTAATTACTTCTGAAGTTGTGACTTAACTTTGAAATTTGTGATGTCTGATGACTGTTTTTTAAATTTTGTTTGCACTGATGGGTTATTGTTGCAGGGTTTTGGTTTCATCCTTCCTAGGGGAGCTTTCTTGCAAGGGTTTTACATTTGTGCCGTTATCTCTAGTAGAATGGATTGTGATTTAAAAATTACTGTGGTACAGTGTATGTGACTCCCCTCTGCCCCGTGCAACTGTGCTCATATTTGCACAAAGGTCTGTAAAGCTTCAAGGACCAAGGACTGTGAGAAAGAAACAGAAAAATCCGTGCATTTAACCACATCACCCTCAGTTAGTACTACAGGTTGGTAGTTCGAGGAGGCAGTAGCATACGTCTGTAAGACCAGGCTTTGCCCAGCGTGCCGGGAGCTGGCTGTGCTGATGCTGAGGCCAGAGCAGGTTGCTCCCAGCACAGGCTAAGAGAGAGAAAACCCACCTCTCACGGCAGCGTCGGTGGCATCTCTGCAGCTCGGCAGCAGTCATTTCAGCGGCTGGAAGTGAAGACCTTCATCTGAGAAGGTGGCCTTTCCATTTGTGGACAAAACTAACTCACTTTTCTTAATAAGAAGACTAGATATGCGCAGTTTTTAAGTGAAATAACATCAATACAGGTTTGAAAGTTTATTGTTTTTTTTTCCCCGGCAGGAAATTGTGAGGGGGTAGACTTGGCAGCCGTTATGTCCAGTATGGCATGAATTACAGCAGCTAATTAGATAGGCTGCTAAAAGTTTTTAGGGCTACTATGTTGCTAATTCTCTGTGGGAATCAGGGGGTTTTTAATGCTTTTAGGCTTTATAAGTACAATAACTTCATTGTACTGAAGAAAGCAAACTTCACGGGGCTTTTTATCATGTGTGGGTAATTCCCTGTTTAGATATTGTGTATTAATCTTCTACTAAAAGAAAAAAGAGAGCTGGAATTGGGGATGTTTGGTTTGTTTTGTGGGGGGGATTTTACATTGCAGTTTCTTTGAAGGCAGTGATAGTTTATGAAGTGTGGGAAGACAAAGATCTCAATCACAGCTTTGTGTATGTGCCATACTTTTCTGGCATACCCGAAGCATTTTTATGGTGAGGATCAGATACATTGAATACTTGCTACTTTTTGTTCAAAGATACTGTTGCTTTGATAGAGATGGTGCTCCTTATGGCACAACAATAGTTCTGTATTTCTCTGAAACTTGTGACTGAAGCATTTCATAAGCAGTGCTTTTTATTTTTTAATTATCCATGAGAGAGAGAGTACTCTTGTCCCCATTGTGCAAATAGGTAAATAGACACGGAAAAAAAGTGAAATTACCTTTATATCCTCTGAAGCTGAACTGATTGCAAGTCTGGGAATCGACTGGAAAAGTTAGGTGTCGAGTGCCAAATGAAAGGTTTTGTGAGTTAGGTGCCTGATGGTTCATGATACCTTTTAGTGTTTCCTTTGTGTGATTTACAACAAACAGCAGTGGTAAATTTTCAGAAGGATTGCATGGGAACACCGTAATACACAGAAAGTATTGTGATTATTTGGAATATTCTTGAAATGTGAGTATACCTTTTTGATTCACACAGTTCTTTGTGTGGTTAAAAAAAATGTTCAAAGCCATTTGAAATTGTTGAAAGGCAGATATGCTGTTATTATCTATTTAAATGGTTTAAGCACTGCAAGGCACAACAGAATGACCATATTGCTAAATGACTACATCTCCGTGTTGGCATAACATTGTCCACAGTGTGGGGGAAAAGGGAGAAGTAATGTTTTTAAGAACTTGGCTTTTAAGCTGGCATACTTAAATAGTAAATAAAATAATGTGTAGGCAAGCCTGATGGTACCTTTGTATAGCATTTATCACTATGGGATCTTTGTACCCTCCTGTAAGATGTGGGAAAAAGGGTTAAAGATTTCATTTTTACTTTGCTAGGGAAGACAGCTTTCATTGAACAGTTCCTGTATAATATCAGGTATCAACTGAATAGTAGGTAGATAGTAAATGAATTTGATTTAGTGTGTTTTGTTTTTTTAGTACTGATGAGTATGTGTTTTTACATGAAAAACAAATATTGACTGAAGATAAAGTCATGGTGGGAGCCTGATGTCTTTTGCAAGCATCTACACCTTTTATGCAACTTTTTTTTCTAGTATGTAGTGTTTCGATTGCATTGACTGATTAAAAATAGTCCACATTTCAGAGCACAAAATTGAGAAACAAAAATACTTTCTGTAAGTCTGGAAACAATTTTTTTTCCTTTCCCATTTATCGCTCTGCTTGTGTATAAATGCCTCAATCTTACAAATGTACAGAAGTGTGTTACAGGTTAGTAGCCCTTTGAAATGATGCTTCTTGACTTTGTAGAGTGCGTTTTAACATACTCCATAATCTTTTTTTGTGTAGATAGGCAATGGCATGATGATGCAGTTAAGAAAATGGGTCAAGTTGTTCACTATACTTTTAAACGAAAGGATTGAAAGGCACTAAAGAGCTTCTTCAATGTGCAGTAGACAAGATAAGGGGTTTCTTCAGGGAGCCTGTTATCGCAAGGACTCAGCAAAACCCACGAATCGAGCAATGTTAGATCTTTAAGTACCATTGAAAAAAACCTCTCAAAACTTTAAAATCAAAAGTTCAAGTGGTATAAATTAGGATAGGTAAAATTAAATACCCCAAATGCTCTCAAATTATGCATCAAATCAAAGATTAGAATTGGGATCTTTCCGTATTCCACAGCCTTAACGATCTTCGTTCGGTGGCGTGTCCCAGCAAAGGCACATACGTGCCTGTTTTCTCCTTTTCTTGTCTAGTGGAATGAGGCATAGTTATCATCAGTGAAACTGCTAACAGTGCTTTTTTTACATGATGTGTTTGTGCATTTTGATTTCAGGCTGTTCTTGTAAGGACTCCTAGGTACAGCAATATGGAATAATTTGTTGTTGCAGTTTTTTCTTGTGCCTGCCATTCTTTTGAGTGGGGCTTTTTCCATCGGTGCCATATATTTCTTATTCTTCAGTTACATTGTCATAGAAATGCAACGCTGCTGCTACTTAAAATGAGAGAGGTTTTGTGGGGAACGTGTGAAGACCATTGACTGTGGCGTATGATCTGGAACCCATTCCAAAGAAAGATTTTTATCACAAAAAAAGCACTTAAACTATTATTGTACTCCAAAAATATATTTGTTGTAATTGTGATAAGGAAATTAGATGTTACTAATATCAAGTTTTCCAAATCCATATAGAATAAATGTATCTGTTGGCTGTCCATGAATTGAACACTTGGGATAACTTCTAGTTGTGATAGGAACTCTTTTATTTTGCTTTAATTTTTGTATAAGAAAGCAGGTGCAGTGTGGGGTGTGGTAAGTATTGAAAGGCTTCATCAGGAGTGGGCTTTCTTTTTACAAGACTGTACAGAATGTTCTGATAAGCTGGGAGAGGCTCAGATTTATGGATTATAATAATAAAGCTGTTACTAAATGTGATACTTGATTTAAAATTTGTTTACTTGGAATTCTGGACAAAATTTATGTCTTAGTTCTCTTTTTGTTTTGTTTTGGTTTTTTTTCTCCCAGTGAATATAATTTCTGCCAGGCAATTAACTGGATGTGGACGTTTCAGCCACTTGTTCCCAACATCCACGTACCAACACATGAAAATGCATAAGAGAATTTTGGGACATCTATCATCTGTTTATTGTATAGCCTTTGATCGCAGTGGGAGAAGAATTTTTACAGTAAGTTTAAAAATTGTACTTTTCTGGGAAGATTGCTTTGCTTGGTTTAATTTCTTTCTTTCTTGAGTCCCGCAACAGCCTCTTAGTCACTGATTGAGATGCAGACACGGCTTCCAGAAAAAGAAGGGAAGAAAAATCTTGAAATGTATGGAAAACCCATCTTTTTCTATGCTAATTTTCACTTTTTACTTGACTTGGTATTTTAAAATTGCTCGCGGCTCCGGTAGACTGAAACTTAGTCAGCTATTTGCTTTCCCGTGTAGGAACTTACAGCAGGGTTGTTCTGGTCCAGAGCTTGCAACTCTCACTTGAAACACATGCTCATTTTTCTTTATTTATCATCTTTCTTACTGAATGGCACCTGCAATATTCTGGGATTTGGAATTAACTTGCATGCTGCTTGCTGGGTTAAATCTTAACACATTTTTAAAAACTACATTTTACCTTTTTGGTAACCTTGGAAATGCTGGCAGTCTTTTCTTTACATTTCAGTAAAACTTGATGATAAATAGAAGACCCCATTACTTCATCTGCAATTTACTTCTCTACTACATTTTCTTTCTAGAATTTGTACTATGTCAGTGAATATATGAATATTTTTTAAGTTTTTCTCCAGAATATATTAACATACATTTCTGTGATGCTGCCCTTGCTTTTGGTTGTGCATATTTAAAAATTAAACAGATTTTCCCAATAAATAATGCGTCTCTTAACTGTTAATGTTAATCCCTGTCTTGTCTTGTCTTTGCCCTTGTCTCTTATCAGTAGGTATTTAGAAACAGATTACCTGGCAGGCCAGTTGTTGTCTTTGTGTTCTTGCTAGCTTCGCCACTCATTATGAATTGGCAAAATAGAGATGTTGTTATGATAATTACTCTGGGTCACAGGGAGGGCCTTTCCATTTTTGTTTACATGGTAAAGAAATCTTTCTCATCTGCAATTATATGAAGATTTGAAAGTGATTTGTGTTCAAATTTACCTGCAGTTAAAAAAATGTAACTTAAATGACGTTGATATTGCAGTGAGTTTCATTGTGTTATGTTTCTGAATATATAGTGGCAATCCTAGCCACTAGTATTAGTATTCTTTGTAGTGTCTAAGTAGTGGAAAGGTCTGTGAACTGTCTAAAAATTATTGGCGATATTGGGATTGAATATAAAATTATTATGTAGCTGCTACTATAGGTAACGTATTTTACAGTGATCTGTGTTGGATGTGCTTTTGAATTGTGTCCTGTCCTGAACTGAAGTCTCACTGTCATAGTATTTTGGTTGCACGTGAAGCTGCATTATTTCTCTCTTTGAGTGGTCCAACCTTTTTCTGTTAACAGAAATTGAACCTCATGGTACAGCTGCCTCACAGGTCTAGGAGCAGAGTAGAGGCTCTGAGATCCCTCAGATGCTTAAGTGCTCTTTTTCCTCAGAGCTTAAGTCTTACTTGGTTTTTACTGCTGGTTTGATCTGGCTCCCACAGATAAATATGACTGGTAGTACATAACAAAATATTTTATCTTCTTAAATTTACCTTAATTACTACTGAACTGTACTGAGAGGAGTTACATTAGCAGCAGTAATCATATCTTAGTATGAAACACAAGACAGTGGCTTCTGTTTTATAAATATCTAATTCCCTGACCCCTCAAGATGATTCCCAAACTCCGTTGTGCCTCTGTGGAACTCCACTGAAGTTGTTCTTCTGGCAGGTTCATGGCGCAATGATATTTTAGATAATTGTTCATCTGCAGTGTACATGTGTATTATGTAGACATAACATTATTTTATATAATCTTTGGAAATTTTTGTGTGGCATTAGGGGTCAGATGATTGTTTGGTCAAAATCTGGGCTACAGATGACGGGCGCCTGCTCTCAACGTTGCGAGGACACTCGGCTGAAATTTCTGACATGGCTGTTAACTACGAGAACACGCTGCTTGCTGCAGGCAGTTGTGATAAAGTAGTCCGAGTATGGTGTCTTCGAACCTGTGCCCCAGTCGCAGTGCTGCAGGGCCATTCAGCTTCCATTACTTCCATACAGGTAAGCAATGACCTTTTTTCCTAAACTCTTGAATTAAAATGGTAATAAGAGATGTGGATTAGCAATCAGGGATAAAACTTAGCTTTTCATCTGTCTGTCAGTGTAGATTTGCCCCAACTCGAGGGTGGTGTTTCCTGGCAAACTCGTTCCCGTGCGGTGGCCTGAGGGGATGATCCTGCTTCCTCCAGCTGCCTTTAACTATGTGGTGCCATTGCTTCTTCCTTAGATCTAGCAAGTGCAAGGTCACCGAGAGCATCAGATCAACTAGCTGAGCTAGGGAGAAGCGGCTGACTACCACGCTGGTGGTGATCCCTGCACAGCGACTGAACCAGCAGCTGTGCATTCACAGAGAACGTTCATTTTTCAGAGGAATACTGCCAGATAAAAATCCTTATGCCACATTTCTTACTTGCTCGTTATCATAGCCTGTACTGTAAGGAGCTGTTCTGGATATTGGAGCATACGTAGACGCTGCTGCAGCCGCAGTACAGCACAGACCAGGGACTGCAGAGAATCTGTGCTGGTGCCCATGCAGTTTCAGCTGTGTGACAAGTGCCCAGTGAGCACCAGCAGAGCAGGAAAAAAAAAAGACTAAACTGCTGGCACTCAGTTCTGTAGTGGTGGCACAGTCAGTAGTGGCTAGTAATTTGCAGTTTATTTGCTTTAAAAAAAACCCACAACTGCCAGGTTATTTAAAGAGCTCCAAGCCAACGAAACAAAATTCCGGGGTAAAAAAGACAATCCCTGCAATTTGGCAGGTTATGCACATAGAGGGGAGAAGGAGTGGGGGTGTTTGGCTCTGAATCCCTCTTTTCTGGAGCCTTGCGGCCTTTGATTCATCACAGTCTTCTCCATCGTGGCAGGAGTCCCTGGGGCCTCATCTCCCCTCTTGCCTACGCTTCCAGTTTTGTCTGATTTTAACTCTGCCACAAGTTAGTTACTTTAAGGTGATTGTTTTGGAGACGTATTTTACAACCTGGTTTTGTGTTTTGTATATTATTTGTTGTATATTTGCATCCCTCCCAAGCTTTTTGTAAAACTCTGGTAATTTAGAGAATAATCACAATCAGTCTTTTTGAGGAAACAGTGCTTGATCCCTTTATCAAATACCAGATAGCCAGAAGATTAAAGGTATTGCCATAGTTATGAAATTAAAGTGAGAGACTCCAGAATGAAAAGATTTCCTACTCCTTAGAGAGGGAGAGGAGAGGTTCAGGAAGAGGGAGGGAGTCGGGGTTCTATTGTGCTGCTGTTTTTTGTTGGGCTTGGATGCAGGAATCATTTTTGTCTTTGTAACCATGTTTGATCCGGTTCTGTCCTAGAAAGAAGTGTTTCCTTACCTTGTTTCCCCATTAAAAGGGTCTAGGCTTGTTTCATTTCTCCAATCTACTAACTTTTGTGCGATAGAAACAAAGATTTGCTAGTCAAAATGTAGGTGTTTTCCATTTCCTCAGCTTTATTCTTATGGAAGTTCAGATCCTGTGGTTAATCCCTTGATACTGCTCTCTGTACTCCTGGGGAGAAAGCTAATATGTTCATGAAAAAGAGTCTTGTCAACGTCCATTTACAAGTTTCCACCCTGTAGGGGAGAAAAAAATTAGCAGGTTTAACTGTTACAACTTTATTTTTAGTTCTCTCCAGCAAGGAAAGGAACAACACGATACCTCACTTCTACTGGTGCTGACGGAACAATCTGTTTCTGGCAGTGGCATGCTAACACCATGAAATTTAAGTAAGCCTGTTTAGATAATTATAATTATCTTAAACAAAGGATGAATTTATTTGGAGTTTAGCGTGGAGAGGAATGCTGAGATAATTAAATAAGGGCATTTTCCTTCTCATAAACAAGTTTCTTGGGATATGTTCTCTCATAGACACACTGTGCATGAGTGCCATATCAGTGTGTGGGGCAGGGACCCCTTTTCTTATGTGTGTTGGTGAGTCTATGGCATTACACCCAGAGGAGAGGCAGAGATCAGGGCTATTATTTCTAAGTTTTGTGCTTTGCAAGCCAGTGTTGTGGAAGAACTTTCAGCTTTTATGTTTAGGATGAAATCCTTGTCCAAAATGTACAGGCGGAAGACTTTATTTGCTTTTAATCAGAAAAACACACATATGTAGATGGCATCAAACCCATACTTGATAGGGAGTAAGTGCTATTAGACTAATAGTTCGCCAGGTTCTGTTTTAAATAGATTTGAATTAATGAGTGTCATGATAAGTTAAATAGTTTTTTCAATTTAGAAAATTATGGTTTTGTTACTAATCTAAGGAAGAAAATTGCTAAAACGAAAAATGAGTTCTAGCAAACTTAGGTGAGAATTCTGAAAGGAAGAGATTTAGGATGGGCATCGTGACTGTAACCTGCTGAGCTGCATTGCACTATTCTTGTTGAATGGCGTCAGAATAAAGTAATGAAAAGTAAAAATGCTGTGTTGTTGCATATAGGGATCGCCCTGTAAAATTTGCAGAGAGGTCCAGGCCTGGCGTTCAGATATCTTGTTCATCTTTCAGTTCTGGTACGTATGCATTGAAAGATAGCTGAAAGTATTTTATGAACTGTAATTCCTTTGGTGACAGGACTGTGACTTCTTTTTAAATACAAATAGTATTAAACCCTTTTTCAGTTAATGATAGTACTGTCGAATTGTGAATGTTTGAAATTTTCCATGCTAAGCATCTGCCTCAAGCTGCTTTTTCTCTTTTTTTTTTTCCTATAATTTAAGCTAAAATGTCTTGACCACTTCTGAGGAAGACTATGCTTTCAGTCTGTTGTTTTGCACATCAGAGGTTTTTCTTTTGTAACATCCTTTTAAGGTTTTATCTTGTAAAGTTTTTGAGTGAAAAGTTCTTGAAATCTGGCAGACAGGTGGCCTCTGTTCAAAGGTTACAGTTTGCTCATCTTCCAAATTTGGCTAAGTTCTAGGAGGATCAATTCAAGGTGTTTGAAAATATCAGCTTAACTGACATCTTTTGTTGCAGCTTTGAATTCTCAAAAATAGTGATTTTTACAAACAAAATTATGTAATTACTCATTAATTTTTACTATCTGAAATTGAGAGGTATTTTAGAGCCATGTGGACCTTGCCCACATTCCTTTTTTAAAATCAGAAATCCTGAAATAACTAAAACCATTTAAATGCAGTAAACTATACAATAGTGCCCAATAGTGCAATATTATAAATAGAAGAGACATTACAAGAAAATATCATAATCACAGACTCCTGATTCAGCAATAATTTCTCTGATGTGTGTCAAATAGATATGGAAAATGTGCTTAAACATTTTCTTTGATATTTACCACTGAGAGTATCAAACTATTCCCCATCTAATTTTCCTCATAGGCTGATGGAGAGCACTCTGGTAATTTCTGAGGGAAAGCAGAATATTTGTCGGATGAATGTTGTAACTTGCAATATTCTCTTCCTTTGGTCAAAAAGGTTTGCAGCTGGAAAATATTGTAGAGCTCATAGTTATGCTAAAGCTGATAGGGTCTGAGAAAGTACAGATCAAAGTAGAAGCTGTCAGAGTTAGCTTTTTTTGTTCAGGATGTATGTTTTGATTACACTGAAATTTTCTTTTTAAAACTGTAGTTTGCTGCTTTGACAACAAAACAGTAATTAAAATAAGTTGTTCCTTGGATGGCTTTTCTTCTCACAGAAAACACTGTCTTTCTTAGGTGGCATGTTCATTGCAACAGGCAGTACTGACCATGTGATAAGAATTTATTATTTGGGCTCAGAATGTCCAGAGAAAATGGCTGAATTAGAATCTCATACGGTAAGAGACAAAGCAGAAAGCAAATCTTTTTTTTTCCTCCGCTTTACCTTATTTCAGGAACTTAGGTTTTGTACATCCTATTCAACTTGTTTTCTGGCTTTAGAGTTTACTTGGCTCTCAACAGTGTGGTATTTAAATGCCTGGAAATTTGTGATATGTTTATTTTCAAATTCCTCAGAGGCAGGAGATGTTTGCAAAATATGCCTTTTGTATTTCATTCCCCCAGGAAACTGAGGGACGAGGTGATTTTCCCATATTCTTGAGTAAGTCTGTTTTGGAATGAGGAATTAAAGCAGTTTTCGTACATGATGTCATTTTTCCTATTAAATTTACTGTTGAGTATTTAACTGTAGTTGTGACCACAGATCCACATAACAAGAAAAAACAAAGTGATTCTGGTTTTAGAGTGTGCGGTCAAACTTTGGGTCATGATGGTAATTTCATTTGGAAAATAAAGCAAACTTAAAAGCATCCTTTCGCAGGTGATGCAGAAGGATTCTCATGAAAATTCAAACTACTTTAGATATCTGTACGATGACTTTCAAACTTGAAAACTAACGTTGAGTCTTAATAGCTTTTATTAAAACCATCAAATGGCTCAGTTTTAATGAAACCCCATAAAGAAGCATCACTAAACCAGTATCAAATCTTTCTTCATTTCTTAGTTATTACCGAGAACAGGTGATGATTGCTCTATTTATTACGTGCATGGTAAACAATATATCAGAAAGGCAAGCTTATAGCAACACTGATAGGGCTGTCACTTGTGAGGAGTTTGGAGCATTTATCTTTGAACCTTAATAGACCAGCTGCCCACCTTAACAATATTTTATGGATTAAGGCTGAGGTCTAAATTGATTCACTGAACGTCAGCGGCAGTCATGGGTCTCAAACACTTAAGTCTCAGAGTTCCAAGCCAACAAACCTAACAAGTATTTTGCTCACAAGAATTAAAATATTTTCTATCTTCAACAGTTCAGGTTTGGAAGAAACTGTAATTCCTTTAATTTTTTAAAGTCTACTTTTCTTAATGCAACAGACTGCTGTCAACCTGCCCCTGAAAAACATCCAGAATTGGACACTTGGTTATCAGGAGCTGGAGATGTCAGTGAGAGTAGAGATAGCAAGTGCATGTAGCCAACACCAGTAATTAGCAAAATAAAAAAAGGGAAAAATCATGTGTAGAACTTGGTATTTGTTTCTCAACAATGTAAAAGTGGAAATAAAGCCAAGGTTTGCATTTTTTTTAGTGGAATATTTTGATGCACTTTAATGTTAGGTCTAAAAATTGCAAACCTGCTGTGATCATTTATTTGGTTAAATTGTTCTTTCTCCATCTTGTGGAGTGCTGTTCCTACCAGGCCTTGTGAGCTCCAGGAATACCTTATTCCTGTTAACTCTGTGGAGTATAAAAGGTGCAAGGTTTCCCAGGCAGAGCTTAGCCTGGGCTGCGTACGGTCCCGTGGCACTTCCCGTGCAGATGGACTGTGCTCAGGCAAGAGTAGAGTTGCTGCAGCTTCTTCCTCCTGAACATCCAAGTGTCAGGGAGACCGAGTCAGAAATCATTTGTGTATCTGAGCTAATTCTGGAGCAAAACACAGGCATCACCTCTTTGAAGTTTTGCATTTCAGTGTCTAACAACAGTATGTTTGGGGAAGTTTTAACTTCAAACTTGACTTTTCTGTTCTTGAATTTGTACGATAGTACGTTGCAGGAGATGTATGGGAAGATGCAATTTGCTGAATAGAAGCTCATCGTTAAGATCTTTTTGGATGAGTGTTTCAGCTTACAAAGCACTTACAACTATTTTTTCCTCCCTCCTATTTAGGACAAAGTGGTTGCGGTCCAGTTCTGTAACAATGGTGACAGGTGAGTGGCTGTCCTGGGATTTTGGCATGAGAAGTATGGTATTTAATTTTCCGCATAACTTTGCAGAGGAAATTTGGTGCAACAGGAAGACTGCACATGGCCTCTGATTAATCTTAGGCAAATTATGTAAAATATATTGCAAGATATGTGTCATATCCACAAGCTTGGTCTTGCTGTCCTCTGCTGTAACAACAAAAACAGTCTGTAACTGTCATTTTGCTTTGTATTTTTTTAAACTGAGCAAATGTAAGAGTGTCTTACTTCACAGGTAGCCTTGTTCAGTAAGGGTTAATTCTGGAGTAAGAACATTACACTAAATGTAGTTCTAAGCACAAGTTAGAAGTGTTACACATACACACATGGTCAGACAAGTAATTCTGCAAGGAGCTGTGGTCTGATCTTCACTGAAGGAGTCTTTCTTGCAAGGTGCTTTTACCTGGTAAGATGGCAATAACTTCTGAGTATATCCCTTGTTTATAATGGGATCAGGATTTGGTTTCTCAATTACTTTTCTTTCTTATTTTTTCTTAACTAGAATATCAGGTTAAATGTGGGGGGGAAAAAAGCCTGTTGGCTTTATCATTTCAGCCCTGTTAGAGCAAGATGAAAAATAAGCACATATACATATTTATTAATCTGTGTGGCTCTTGCTTGAGGTAGTGACTTTTGGGCATCCTTTTTTCTGGAGCTGCAGGAGTCAAAGGGGTAGGTAGCATGGTGACTGTACCACACGTCTGTATGCCAGCACTGCTGGCCAAGTTAGAGGCAAAGGGGAGGCCAAGCTACCAATGACAGTAGCACTTTCGGTAGCCGTTGCTTTCAGAGGAGATATATTTCCCCTGTTTCTGTACTGGGGCACAGATGAAGAACCCACTTTATCAACTGCTCTTGCTCTGTCCTCTCTGTAGTAAGTAGTATGAGAATGTGACACTGACTTCCAAAGAAGTATGCTCTTAGCTTAGCATCTGAGCAATGCTGTCTGCGCTGGCCAAAAGGATCTACAAACTCAGTGCTGTCGTTCATGAAAAGAAGATAAATATGAAAGGGGAAATAGAACTTGGTGTGTTGTTGGAAACGAGATGGAAGGAAATCAAGGGAATAATGGCATCTAGTGATGAGTATCATGCATAAGGAAAACAAGGAACTGTAGAGCTACCTTGTATCTTGGAAATTTTTTTTTTTTTCATTATTTCGCTGTGCTCTCATTTATGATCCATATGAGAATCATGTTGAAGCTGAGTGTTGATAGATTATGTATACACTGGGTTTTTTTGTTAAAATTTATTTCTCTTGCATATGTTTGCTGTATCATTGATACCAGCTGGGGACCAGAAAGCAGCCAATGATTAGCATAATTTGATAACGTGTTCCAAATAATATGACATTGCTGAAACATAAGGCCATCCACTCTTCACTGTCTGTCTGATTTAATTCCTTCGTGAATGATTTCTTCTGCCAGGCCCTCTCTGGGCACACTGAATAAGCAAGTTGTCTCTTCTAGTGCTCAGAGTTCTGAAAAATACGGGAAGAGTGTTTGTTTTTGTGCACACACTCACAATTCATAAGGGCTCAATTTCTGTGAGGTTCTAAGAGTGATAAACATGATCTGATAAATAACCAGGCCCTCATCCCTCATCTTGTACTTTTTTAACTCTGAAATTACAGAGGAAAAAAAGAAAAGAAAAGCCCTCTTATTACCAAGGGGGAATAAGCAAAGAACAGCTCTTCAATGGGATAACAGCTCTTCAATGGTAAAGGTGCAGTTAATCTTTACATCCCAAACTTGGATCCAGTCTACCTGGTAGATAAAATTTCCCTGCTTAATTTGTCTGCATTTGAGACTAAAACTTTCCCTTACACATGTTCTTCTCGTTACAATTGTTTGACTTTTCACAAGGTTTTGGATGTTTTACATAATACTTCAGTAGCGTCCTACCATATTTTTGTGGTGTCTCCTTGCAACCCACTATCTTTAGTCTTCAGCAAGTCACCGATAACGTCTGGATAGCTTAACATCACCAAGTGTGATACGGAATGGGCTAGTCTTAACATTTCCTGGAGTGAAGACTGTGAATCTGTGTTTGTTTGTGTGACTAATGATGAGCTACAGTGCTTACTTTCACCAGTTTCTGGAACGGAGTATATGGGACAGTTACTCTCCACACGCATCACATACTCTCTGAACCTGCAGCCCTTGGTTGCTTCCACCTGTCCGGAACTGGTTACACGGGCACAGTCTTAGCACCTTTGGGTCTTGATGATCATTTCATTGGTCTTGATGATCATTTCATTGGTCTTCTTTATTATTCATAATAATTTACTTATCTCTGACGACATACCTGGCAGATATTCTAGGCAAATACATGACTTTCCAGTTAATTTGTTTAGACGATAACAGTAATCCTGTGATCTTAAAATTTATGAAGTGAATCATTCCAACCTGCAGAGCTTTCAGTTTTTCAAACTGTGCTAAGTCAGAATGCTGACTTCTTATATAGCAATTAGTCAGGATGCTCATGATAAAGTGTACAAAGGTGCCTATAGGCATGTCTTAGTGTCAAACTTCGGCAGCACAGCTGTGTTGGGAGGAGTGGCACGACAAGCTTTGATTAGTGATCAACATCTTAATGTAAAAAGGTTTTAAGCCAACTTTTGTTCATACTCCTTATTTTGCTTGGCAGGAGGTTTAAGGGATGTGTGCAAGCAGGAGCCTTGCAAGCACAACAGTAGTTTTGCCAGTGGAACTGCACCTGCACTCGGAGATCTTTGTTGTGTAAAATTATGTGGGAATGTACCAGTATAATTGTATTAACAGTTCCTTCTAAGCGATGTGAGCACAGGTCTCGCTGCGGGTATTACGTCATGTAGTCACCAAAAATTATACCCATATGCTCCAGTGATGCTTTTAGTGGAAAAGTTATAACTTCCTTTTTGTCATAATATAAAGAAGTAAAAATAAAAATGAAATACATGTCACAAGCATTTTTAAACATTTTTTAATCTTAATTAAAAAATTTAGATCAGGGAAACTGGAAAGCTGAAACAATTAGTAAAATAAAATTGAATAGGCTTGTCTTTGTACAGTAATTCGGAGTATGAATGGAATATACTTTTAAAGGTGTTGGCCATTCTGTGAAGCCGTATTACTTGAGAAGCTTTTTTCAAATTTCTCAACCAAAATGATTTCTGTGACACTGATAGCCAAAGCATTATGATGTAGTTAAATGCATTTGCTGGATGCTTGAAATTTTTTAAAGAAAGAGGAGTTTAAAAATGAAAATACTCATGTTCAACTTCCCAGGCAGGGCTACCTACTTGCGTTCAACTTGGGTATTTCCCTTTTCTGTCTTCACCCTCTCCCTGAGTTAATGTATTATAATTTATGCTAGTCTCCTGGCATACAGTTTCTTTTTCTTTGCTGCCGCTATGAACTGCTCAAGGGATTTGCTGATGTCATTAAAAAGGGAATGTGCAGTTTGTATGAATTACGACATTGAAGTCATTCCAAGGCCATCTGCTGGCTGTAACCAAATGTAATTAATGTTGTGGGATATAAGCTCTTTTGTACCGTACAATATCTGATACGAAAATTGTAACCTCGCTGTCTTTTAATTACATTCTCTAGATCAGAGATGCACGAACAATATAAAGAATAAGTGTTAAAGAATAAGTGTTAAAAAAAGATTAAATACATTCTAGCTTCTGTGCTGGTGTGAATGGGTGTGCTCTTGGCTTGCCAGCATTTTGTAGCTGCCTGTTTCCTGTGGTGGTAGTTCCTGGATATTTTATGAGTTGTTAAACACGCCTGTGTGTGGGCGTATATAGGGTAAGACAAGTATATATACATAAGTATATACTTCCAAGTATGCATATAGTTGTGTATGTGTGTGTGTGTGCATGTTTGTTGCAGAGTGACATAAAAGTAAGTGCTTGTAGTGACCTTTCCTAAGGTGAATGACAGTCTTCTGCCAAGCTCTAAGTATTCTCCCTGCAGGATTTAGCATGCCCACGCTGTTGCTGAGGGTGGAAAACTCCATAGCAAAGCTATGAATAGCGAGAAAATAACATCCTGCGATGGGCATGTGGGTATTAGACCAAAAGCAGCAGTGACTTATCCTTGTTCAGGATTTCATTACTTTTTTCATATTTTTTTTTCCATAGCTTGAGATTTGTCAGTGGAAGCAGAGATGGAACAGCAAGAATATGGCACTATCAGCAGCAAGATTGGAAGAGTGTGGTCCTGGATATGGCTACTAAAATGACAGGGTAAAACAAACCAAACCAGAATGCGCTTCATAGCCACGTTTACACGCAAAACAAAATCTTCCATCATATTTATTTACTTCCATTTTGAGTTAATCTCAGCATATTTGTGTATTGAAAATGCCATGGTTCCATCTGTTAAGTCACACAGTTAATTAGCCCCCTGAAAGAAAATATAAATACATTGGTAGTTCCCTAGTCTAATGGTTGGGGAATATTTAGTATTTTACACATGAAGTAAGAACGTCAGATAGAGTTCATCCCACAGGAAGAGGTTTTAGTAGAACCTCATTGATCACATGCTGATATGCTAATATAATATGTCCAGCCTGTTTCTTAACACTGTATTTTTCCTTAAGTTTTCACATAAGAGGTGAGATACAGTGATTTGGTTCTCAGGTTCAGTTAGGGTTTCAAGTTTTTCTTTTTGAGATCCTCAAGTGGCTTCTGTAAGTGGCCTTGTAATGGAATATGCACAATAACAAAAAGCAGAAATGGAGAAATCCATTAGGCATTTTGCTTTGCAGAATTCTTTATATTTCATATGGTTACATTTTTAATAAGTTAGCTGTTGGATGTATGATTTGGATTTATTTAGCAGGTTCTTGCTCATTTTAGAGTTTACTCATATTGATGACTGATAAGAAAAACACCTTGTAGGAAAAAACTTAATAGAACTGAATAGCTTGAAAGAAAGAATTGGGGTAGGCGAAGATGATTGCTTAAGAACAGAAGAGAAACTTGTCCTCTTTAAGGAAATAAAACTCTATGAATCTTAGTGGTACTTAATGTTTTCTGTATCTGGTTTTTACCACTGCAGAAGCCATCCTTCATCCTTCTGCGTTAGCCAGTAGTCAGGGTGGTGGCAGCCATGCTCTCCCTAATCTCATACTGAATTAACGCTGTTAAATGTTTACGTCTGTAGTTACTGATTTATTTCTTCTTTAAATTATTGATTTCCTTAGAAACAATGTAGCATCTGGGGAGGACAAGGTGACTAAACTGAAGGTTACTATGGTGGCTTGGGATAGATACGATGCCACTGTCATCACTGCAGTCAACAATTTCCTTCTCAAAGTGTGGAACTCGTCCACAGGGCAGCTTCTTCATAGCTTATCTGTAAGTAAAATTCAAGTAGGTAATCCCAAACGGTTATAGTTCAACTCCAAAATTGATTTGAGGCTAAACTGCATCTGCATCATCATTCCCCCTGACAAGGAGTGTTTTGTCCTGAAGCGTGCCGCCTGTCTTATGCTTACTGGGAGGAGTGTGTATCACGGGGAAAGGAGCTGATGACCAAAATGCTGCTAGATCCTGGTGATTGCTGGCTGACAAGGGAGCCCTTTGAAGGCCACCGTTTGTGTCCAGATTAGAGGGTTGCAGCTGTCCTTGCTGCTGAGTTCTCCTTCCTCCCCATCCCTCTCCGTCTCAGTTGTGCTGAGCTACAGTCTGAGGTACTTACAAAGTGGGCAGTGGTAATGCCAAATCTCTGACAGAAACGTTGACTAAGTACAGACACAGTTTTAGTCTAAGACCAAGTAAATTGAGCTGTCATGGATGACTACCTGAACTGAGATGTCCTCACACTAAATACTACCATGTTTGGAGATGCTACTTTTTTTTTTTTTTTACCCTGCTTTCATTGCAGGGTCACGATGATGAAGTTTTTGTTCTGGAGGCCCATCCGTTTGACCAAAGGATTGTACTTTCCGCGGGTCATGATGGAAATATTTTTGTTTGGGATATAGACAAAGGAACAAAAATTCGCAATTACTTTAACATGGTAAGAATGGTAAGGGAAGGGTGGGTTTTTTTTTTTTTTCACATTTGTGTAAAAATGATCTTGAGGCAAAAGCAGATGTCATTACATACCTGTTGTGACCAATGTTACAACAGGATTAGGGGAAAACATCTACCTGTTAAAAAAACCACCCTGTACTCTTCAGTAAGCAATACCAAAGTATGTTTTCGCATATTGTAAGTGCAGCAGCAAGTCTTTCATGGGATCTGTTACATCTGAATATTATTCATGTGTATGATTATGGTTATACCATGCAAAAGATTATAGTGACTCCCAAGGTAGAGCAATGAAAACCAGTAAGCCTGTGTGTTGTAGCACAATGCTGTGGTCTGGGGAATGGTATGGTTGGCTCTGTGCCGCGTCTATCTTAATGCGCCCGGTGCCAGGCTTGTTGGTTTGGTTCCAGTGCTGAGCAAATGCAGCTGTACTGCGTCAGGACCTGAGCTATCCTCCTGGCACTTGGGGCTGCGAAACCTGCTTGTACGGAGCCAATACATGTCTGAGATCTTCGGGGCAGGCTTGCCCTATGTCTGCCATTAACATAAAATGTAGACTTCTAGGTGGTTGTTTCAGAACATACATTAAAAGTTGCACTGAAATTTCAGGACAAAGAGAAAATGCAAGGTTCTACTGCATTGTTCAGTTTAGCTTTAATAATTAAGTAGGAAAAAAAAGGGTAAATCAGTCTTGAGGGAGATCAGAAGTTACACAGAATTAGGATTAAATACTTGTTGGAGGACTTACGCATGCATGCTCTTATGGGGAATGCATGATTGTGAAATGAATGTTCTGTGCTTGTATACAGATTGAGGGCCAAGGCCATGGAGCTGTTTTTGATTGCAAGTTCTCCCCAGATGGACAGCATTTTGCCTGCACAGACTCTCATGGACATCTGCTACTATTTGGTTTTGGATGCAATAAATATTATGAAAAGGTAGGTTGAATGAATTTTAAACTCTTCTGTGTCTTGACCTGATTTTGTCTGAGAAGTATTTGTGTTACAGTTCATCCCCTTGCCCTGCCCCAGACAAAATAGTAATTAGATCATGAAGCAGTTGCTGTTTACCTGAATCAAAAAGATTTAGACGAGAGAATCTCTAGACAGGGGAACAAAGCATTAACTTCTATCTATTCACCTTTGTGGGCATACTTTATTATTGAATTTTTGCATCAGGCCTAGGTAATAAAACACATTTGTGGTAGGAATCTGTTCTCTGTCATAACATTTCTTCTGCTGATCCTAAGTGTAGGAGTTGTGGTTTATGGGTATGGGAGCCATTCCAAAGCAGCAAGACAGCTGCAAATGGCCATTGATTTATTTACTAAATTGCTTTTCTTGCAGATTCCAGATCAGATGTTCTTCCATACGGATTACCGACCGCTGATCCGTGATGCAAATAACTATGTGTTGGATGAACAGACTCAACAGGCTCCACATCTTATGCCTCCTCCATTCTTGGTGGATGTTGATGGAAATCCTCATCCCACGAGATTCCAGCGGCTGGTGCCAGGGAGGGAAAATTGCAAGGATGAACAACTTATTCCTCAGCTGGGATATGTAGCTAATGGTATGCTGTCTGAAACTCATGCATAATACATGTATCGCACAGTATTGAGCACCAGCTCTGTAGGACGGTACAATAAGGATTGTTTATTTTGGTTGTCTTCTGAAACCAGTGGTTTAAATATAGTGTAGACATAGAAGAAGAAATAGGGTGACTTTATGGCATGAGGGAAGTGTATGGAATCAACCTGACTGGAGGTGAGATGAGGAGACTGTAGCATTCCAAAATCTGTGGACTTCTACCAGGTATGTGGCAGCATGCTTAAAGAGTTGTCCCATTAACCTCGGTGTAACTGTGTATGTGAGTAAGGAAGCAAAAAGGTAAGAAAGACATTAAAAAAATAGCGTTTGTTTTTTAAAACAGTTTTTTTTCTTGTAGATACAAACTTCTGCAAAATGCTGATCTCCAGAAGAGATTTTCCATTATTACCTACGGAAGCATAATGTCTTTCTGCTGTTTCTAAGGCTTTGTGTTTCTATCTTTTGTGTGGTCTGTAATTTTAGATTTTTATTGTAACCTCTCTTTTAAACTTTGCCTCCATTTATTACGAGAGCAGAAAGCCAGCTGGTGATCAGATGTTTTGCAGAGCAGACAAATAATTGTGCACAATTTTAAATGTAATTGTTTCTATGGTATTTAGTAAAACAGAAATTAATCATTTTATAAGAAGCTGTGGCTTTGTTCTTGTTAAGGTGATGGTGAAGTAGTTGAACAAGTCATTGGGCAGCAAACTAATGACCAGGATGAGAGTATCCTTGATGGAATGATCAGAGAACTACAGAGGGAACAAGATCTGAGACTAATTAATGAAGGAGAAACTCTTCCAAACCCTCCACTCAATAGATCCCACTCTGTTAATGGAGGTAAGTGTCTCTTTTTTTACCTCCACCGTTCTTTTCCTAAAGCGTAGCAAGGCACTAATCAAAATGTGTCAACATAAGTTCTGAGACTGTCTTTGAGGATGCTTTTCTCTCGTGTTCTTGCACACATCATTAACCTGTGCAGAGCAGTTGGATGTTCTACGGATGGTAGCAGAGGAATTAAAAGTTTAAGGTGCAGCTGAGGGTACACAATGGTCTAATTGGGCTGTATCTGATTACCTAGAACTATTAGACTGTATGTTTATGTTTTAGGAAAGGTTTATAACAGGAATAATTAGAGTTCACTGTATTGTCTTGATGTCAAGTCACTGCAGAGATGACACTTTGTAACTGCATAATGTCAAGATAACAGCATATAATTAGAGAATGTCAATGGAATACAATGCTGTGACAGACTAATGGCTTCCTGTTGCAGCATAAATGCTAAGGCTGAGCATCAGTGTTTATAAAATAAACATGTCTGCTCTGTCTTAGTGTTTCCTTAGAAAGCGTGAGATTATTCTCCTGGTAAGTGTTCTGCTACTGTGATTTTATTTTTAATACACAAAGTGATTAAAAATTTGAAACAAACCAAATCAGACGTGAACAGCTGACTGTGAGGCAGCTGAGTGCAGCTGATGTGAGAGAGCAGATGTTGTGGACTTGTGCTGCGAACCATCCTGAGCTTTTAAAAATTTGCATCCACTAATAAATTAGTTCTAGGTTAAATGACTGATTACACATTTGACTTAGATTTCCTGGCAAAGCTCATTAGGATTGCTAGATTTGGAGTTGATTGTCTTTAAATTCAAGAAACAGGAAAAATATTAGTGAAAAACACTGAAAATATACTTTTGCTTTGGTCTAAATAGGTATTGTCAAGAAGGTGGTCTAGAAGCCAGCTTCAACTCACAAGAAGTCTTTTCTACTTCCTATGATAGGTTGATGGGTTGTGCAATCCCAGTTCTCAATTTTATTTCTATATCCCTGTATTTATGTGAAAGGGAATTTCCAGATATGAGTGGTGTAGAAATTAAAGTACTGGGACCTTACAGAATTCACATTGATCAGTGGCTTTGCTACATGAACTGCTCATTTGTGTAAAGTACTTGATGTTTTAATAGCCTAATATTTTTATATAGGTTTCCACAACCGTAAATGCAATTTATTCATATGGTTAACCACATTTAAGAATACGGAAATTGTGTTGATGCATTCCCAAATGGTGGGATAAATTAAGGCAATGCTAGCAGTGATTCTGAAATTATCAGCCTTTTTGTCTCACTTTGCTACCTAAAGATTCAGTCTCTGTTTTCTCCTGAGCATGTAGTACTGCGTTGTTGTGCCACCAGATGAAAAGCCCAGGAAGGAGCAGTGCCTCTGGCACAGTAGATAAGCATTACAAATACAGAACAAATGGAGGTACAACAGAAACCTGAAACCTTGCAACAGTCTATTATTTTAGATGTCAACGTCATCTCTTCTTGTGCCATAGAATTTAAGACGCATGATTTCAGAGCCTTTAAACAGTTGACAAGACTTTGATTTGAAGGTCACTTAAGTACCTTTAACACTTTTCCGTTAGATTATGTTCTTTGCTTGCCTCAGATATCTCTAAGATATAGCAAGCCACAGTATTGTTACAGTAGCATACACATCTCCAGTAGTCCAAGGCCAATACACAAAAAAGTTCACCTGAAGCAAAAGGCAAAGCCACTTAAAATAGACTTAGGTGGTGTTTATTGTCAAAAAAGAATCTCCGTGCAGTCCTTAAGCTTTAAAGTCTAGATTTTGTTGATGGTTTGTAGAAGTGAAGAAAAATTTTTTTTCTCCCTTAGCTCTTCGAAGTCCAGGTTTGGATGTTACATCTCCACCAAATGTTGGTCTCCGGAGAAGTGGCCAGATTGAAGGGGTTCGGCAAATGCATCACAACGCTCCCCGAAGTCAAATGGCAACGGAGAGAGATCTCATGGCGTGGAGCAGGAGAGTAGTGGTGAATGAGCTTCCTCCAGGCGTCAGCAAGTAAGATGCTAAGTGAGATGGGGATAAAAGAATAAATTGTATAGTGTTTAATGATCCTTCCATGCACCTGTTACAATTTTTAAAAAATTATTTTTCAGAGATGTGTTGGCTTTTTGTTTGTTTGTTTTGAAATTCAGATACTAGGATTAGAGTGGTAGCCTCTGCTGGAGAGTTGAGAATAGTAATTCCTTCTCTTCACAATTGAATCTTTTGTCAGTAGTTCAAATACCACATTTTCCTGAAACTTTACTTAAAAAAACCACAAAAATAATTTTAATACATTTAAATTTTCTTGAAAATAATTATGCATGCTCAACTAACAAGTTTGCTTCCTTAACTTGTGATTCCAGGAGTGAAGTATGTGTGGATGCTGCTAGAAGGACTTGTGTACTTATAGCAAGGGAACCAGAAGTGTTTTCATGTGTATATTAATGAAACGGTCAAGTTATATGATTTATTGAATAAAATGGATGTTTCCTATGTATGATTAGGGTCCAGGAAGAATGTCGAGCTGCCAAAGGTGAAATTGAAATTAATTTATATACTGTTGAAAAGAAGAGAAAGCCATCCCACACCTTACAGCGGGTGAGTTAACTGAGTAGAAGAGAGAACCTGGGTGTGAAGCAGTTCTAAGCACTGAGCAAAAAAAAGAGAAACAAAAAAACCAAAACCAATTTTATTAAATGATTTAGGAGATCCGTAGTACTAATTGTTTCTCTGGCTCTCTCTCTTCCTTCTGTAACTGTAATTTGTCTGTCTGTATATTGTAATATGCAAACAGCAGTGGTAAATCTCTACCTTTAAGGCTTCAGTAATGGGGAGATGCTGGGAAAGCAAAAGAGCAGAGCTACAGTGGATGATCAGTTTGACTTGTGGAAACTAGGAGAAATATTGGAGATGCCACACTTTTTTAAGTGGCTAGCTTTTCCAGAGACTGCAGGTATTTTCAGAAAAGCATATATTTCTCCATAACTTCCTTTCTAAGGACTGTTACTTTAAAAAGTAGAGTTGATGTTTAACCAGAAAACCCACCTGCATGTGCGCTGAAACGAACCACAAGCGTGTAAAAAATACCTTTTCTGATTCTAGATTTCCTAGTTGTCATTTGTAGATGTAATACAATGTACAATCACTTTAATGAGGCATTTTTTAACTATGTAATTCATTATTAAATCTCTACTCATTTTCTTTTTGTCCCTTCTTTCCTATGATAAAAGAACGATTACCAACCAGGAAGTGGAAGGTCTTTGAGAAGAAACCAGCGCAAACGCCAACACGCCTATCAAACACGCTCCACCATAGAACACAATCAGCAAGGAGCAAGTCAAAACGCACGTGCACGGGAAGAATCAGACAGCTCCTCAGAGGTCTGATGCATCAAGTGATTCTTTCAATAGGTTCCCTGTTCACAAATAGCGTGGTTTGAACAACAGATGTGCTGAGAGCACTGTTACCGTTAAGGCTCCGAGTTTCTCCACCTAGGAAGAAACACTCAAATCATTGAGTCATTTGGATTTGTGGTGTTAGTGTAGTAAGTTGATCTTGGAGAGGGAAGGATCATTGACCTCAATGCCAGTACAGTATTCAAAACTAGCTTAAGACAGGTTGTGTATTTTTGGAAATCTGAAACATTTTCAAGTAAATTTAACTGGGTTGCGTTAAACCACTTGCTATTTTGGGATTTCATACTGCAAATATGTTCTAAGTCACATTCAGTACTTTGATTTCATCTACATCTGTAGACTGCTGTTGAAAGAGATTGAGTATTGGTATTAATCATTGATATTTGCAAGGGAAGAACTTAAAATATACCAGATTAAATATAACTTGCTCTCATTAGGGAAGCATGCAAAGTAGAAAGAGACTGAACGTTGCCACTTTATAAATGCATTGAACGTACAGTTCAATATGTTCTATAAAAGCTGTTCACTTGACACTTAAATTTATTAATCATTTAAATAAGAACTCATTCTGTGGTTCTAATACTATTGAAATTCACATCTCTGTCTATAGAAATTAGATAAGCATATAGTATAATATTAATTAAGATACAGAAAGAAATTGTGAACTGACTTTAAGCTAAACTAGTCCTTAAATACAAAGCTTTCCTCAGTTGAGACAACTCATACAGCTTGCTTGCAAACAAAAGTGATACATTTAAACTTGGCCCAAAAGTGAAGCCTTTTGTTTTTAATACAGGAAGATGAGACTGTTGGCACAAGTGATGCATCTATGGATGATCCTGTGGCAGCATGGCAAAGTGAAAGCAGTTCCAGGTAGCTTTACTGCTCTCTTCATTATTAACATTAGTTGATTACATAATTCAAGAAAGAGGGTTGATATTGTGATACTATGACTACAAGGCAGTACAGATTTGTTACACCTTGTGACAGGTTGAAGCCAAGTGTTTGGTATGCTTAGGTAGTTTAAAACAGCAAACAACAAAATTTGTGGAGTCTGTGGACGGATACTTTTATGTATTTGAGCGACTAAGCAATTGGAGGAGTTTTTATAGAAGCATTTAACAGAAAACCAGTGTGAAAAATTCTTCATTTCGAAGACTGACTTTTTTTGTTGCAATTCTGTGTGAAACATTTTATATTGTATTTTTTGTGGGCTTTTTTTTTTTCAAAGTTGAGATCAATTTTGAAAGACCATTTGTAAGAAAATGTTGTCTTTAATTAAGAACTGCTTGAAAACAATCAATGCCAGTTAGTCATATGCAATAGAAATATTGATAGATGCATACGTATCTTCTGTTCATACCTCAGTATTTCCTAATTTTTCTGTTGTCTATATGTATTTGTGTACAATTTCTGTAGACTCTTCTCTTATTTTTAATGTTATGCCTTTATGGCTGGAAGGGCCATGAGCCCATGGTATATAAATACCATATGTGTGTTATTTGGATATTAAAGAAGTCAGAACTTTATTTTTAGAAGAATGCTTTAGTTTTCTAAATTTTTCATGCATTTTGTGCAGTCAGTTCTTAGGAAGTCAGTCTATGAATCAATGAGATAATTAAGATGAAAATAAGTATCAGCCATCACTGTAGTTTTATCCTGAGTTTGCAATTTATAAAATAATTTGTGGAAATACACAAAACTAGATGGCACTTAGGTTTTCTTTAAATTCACATGAGAATGAAATTTTTGTGATAATCCTGACATCTGTTCCACATAACCAGAAGAACAGGTTCAATGTTTGGACCTTTCACTCCATTGTGTGAAAACTGAAGTACTGTTTTCTTTCTTACAACTTTTTATTATCTACAGTGATTCATCGAGTGAATATTCTGACTGGACAGCAGATGCTGGAATTAATCTCCAGCCTCCAAAGAGACAAACCAGGCAGGCAGCTCGGAAAATCTGTAGCAGTTCTGAAGATGAAAATATAAAGGGAGCAAAAGGGCTGGAGCCAAAACGAAGGAAACTTAAACAGCCTAGAAAAAAGGTCAGCATTTTTAATTTTTGAGGGTCTTTTTGACCTTATGAATATACATTTTTTTGGAGTGGTTGTTTTCAAAGTAAAATTTTTCACGAACAAATACACAGCAAGAAAGTTCCTATAGCTGGCACAATAATTGTAATACCAGAGTAATTTTTTTTTTCTTTTATTTTGGTGCTATGGTGACATAGATGTACCTCCATTTTCATGTGGGTAGTTCTCCATTACAGGTGGGATGTTTTCTCCTAGGTTTATGCTCTTCACTGCAGTTAGATTTACTCCAAGGTGGTTTTGTTGTAGAATTCTAACGCATCTGTATTGTATCTACATTGTTGGATTTCTTTTTCCTGGTATTTTTTAAAGAAGACATTTATAATATTTCTAAGGAAAGAAATATAATTTCTTGATTTATAAACATTTTAATCTTCTATTATATTTATAAAAAATGTGTCTCATTCCCTACTATTTAGTTGAGGTTTTTGGAAGGTTGATATTCCAGCATTTTCTTTGCCCTTATATCTAGTTATCTTCAGTAAGTGCTGTATGATCAGTTTTTCGTATGTTCTGCCGTAGTAATTACAGTTTGCATTCTAAATTTAATGTAATATATTTAAGAAACCAAGTGGACTGCTTTCGATGGAAGGCGAACCCAGTGAAGAATGGCTTGCCCCACAGTGGATCTTGGATACTATACCCCGCCGCTCGCCTTTTGTCCCACAAATGGGAGATGAGGTAATGAGTGTAGCAATTCTGAAATTCCCACCGAGGCTGCTGAGCTTGTTTTGGTCAGGGCTATTAAATCTAGCAATATTTTCAGTGAATCATGCTCACGATGGGTTGAGTTTTGATAAGTTTGTTTTTTCTCAGTCAGTCAGTTGTTTACAGATAGTTGTCCTATGTCTCTTTTTGTGCACGTGTGACTTATGAGTAGCAGGAAGAACGGATTGTGCATCTTCAGACAAACCTGCACACTTCTTAATGATCCCAAGTTTGAAAGCACATAGCAGGTGTCACTTTGGGGGCTGATAGAAAGGTTTTTAAAGGGTATAATATTATATATTATAT